CCCCCCCCCCCCCCCCCGGCTGTTCCACGCGCGTCCAGCACGCACCTGAGTCTGCCTGTGTTCGTGTGCCTCCTGCACACACACAACTCCCCTGACCTCAGGTCCAGACTCCTATTGACCTTCCTGGCGGTATTCCCGAGGGTGGCTCGGGGGTTAATTTTCGGTACCATGAGCGGTGACCCCGAGCCACACTCAGGAATACACAGAAGCGTTACCTACCTTGTCCCTCGAGCCGCGCTGTGTCCACCTGATCACTGGCAACACCTGGCCCCGGTACTAGAGATTCCATCCCACTATAGTCCGGAAAACCTGGAAGGAACTGAAAAGCCAGTTTCCTCCTCTGCAAAGGTATTCACCTCCTGGAACCTCTCAGCCCCTCTTACTGAGTGTTCTCGGGGACTGTGTTTTGCCAAATTACATCGTGGCATCGCCACGCCCTTCTACCCTACATATAACTGTACCCAGGGCCGGATTTCCCACAAGGCCAACCGAGGCCCGGCCTTGGGGCAGCAGGGAGTAGAGGGGCAGCAGGGAGTAGAGGGGCAGCAGGGAGTAGAGGGGCAGCAGGGAGTAGAGGGGCAGCAGGGAGTAGAGGGGCAGCAGTGGCGTGGAATTCCTATCTCCTGATGCCCGGGACATGCAGTTCCGGGTGCCGGATGGGTCTAATTTTTCTACATTCAGCCCGGCTTTGGGCAAGCCGAGCTAAAGGTACAGCGGGGAAGCCGCTGCTTGTTTTGTACTTGTGATCCCGGAGATGTCGCCGAGATCACTTGTAAGCAGCCTGCAGGTCTGCTATTCTCCATGGGAGGGGGGGGGAGTTTGCGGGTAGGGGGGCGCATTGAGGAACCTGGGGCATTGGGGCAGCCGAGAGAGGTAATCCGGCCCTGGCTGTACCCCAGTTTTCGAGGCCTCCTAGGGGTGGAAGGTTACTGTATGGTCAGGTCTGAATCACTTGACATCCCCTTTTAAAGTGTTATCATCCAGCAGCAGAAGTGCTCAATGTAATATCGGCTCCTGGCGAGTGGCACAATCCCATGTCAGAGGCATCACCCTGATGAATGTCAGTCCATCTATAGAACTTCTGTTCATGTAACAGGAATCCTTCATGGTGAGGAGGACGGTGGCTGATCCTTCATTGTTAGGGAAGCGGATTCCTGCGATGTCACAAAATCCTGCTGGGGCCCCTAAGAGACCGTCGCTTTGCCTCGAACAGACAGGGCGGCGGCGGCCCTTTTAAAGAGTTCGGCGCTTTACAATTACTGACCAATGGGAGCCCTAAAGTAGCATTAAAGGAGAACGATGAGGCGCGTGAAAATCCCTCCTCCTCATAGTTCTGGCCGACCTGTGACAATGAGACTGTCACAGGTCGGCTCAGTAGATCGGGAACACATACCGGCGCTCGCTCACCTCTCGATCCTGTCCCTGCAGAGAGCCGTGACTTTCACTCACGGCTCCCTGCTAGGATTCCCCCCCTCCCCGCTCCGATCCTCCAGCGCTGACCGGCGGAACGGACGGGGGAGGGGGCGGGTACAGCTGGCTCTGCCTCCATACTTCTTTGTTACTTGGTGACGCGGGAGCATGGAGACGGCTTCCATTATTATACGGGATTTATATAGAGCGCCAACAGTTTGCGCAGCGCTGTACAATATAAGGAAGACATTACAATCACAATACAAATCAAGACGAGATGGTAAGGAGGGCTTCCATGCTAATCGGGAAGCCTGGTGGCGCCCGGCTTCCTTAATGGGACATCCGGTATTGGTATTTGGTATCGGCGAGTACCGAAAAAACGGCATCGGTGCCTCCCTAATGAATACTGTAGAGCAGGGGGAGGCAAACTCCGACCCCCCCAGCTGTGGTAAAACAACAAATCCCATCATGCATCTGCCTCTGCAAGTCATGCATGTGCTGCTTTGTTCATTTACTGTTCCCGGCCGGTCACGATTAGTTCATATTGACGAACGCTTCTTACTGCCGAGCGGGACTTGTTCAGGGTGACATGCGTTGCCTGTCCCTGGGATCACAATGCATGTCGGCCCGCCAGGCGTGATACATCAAAAAGAGTTTTATCATCGAACTCGTAAATAATTTTATAGCAGAAATGGCCGCAGAGCTCGCGTAGACATTAGACAGCGGTCAGATTACGCATGCACCACCAGACATTGGACAGCGGTCAGATTACGCATGCACCATCGGGCATTGGACAGCGGTCAGATTACGCATGCACCACCAGACATTGGACAGCGGTCAGATTACGCATGCACCCCCAGACATTGGACAGCGGTCAGATTACGCATGCACCCCCAGACATTGGACAGCGGTCAGATTACGCATGCACCCCCAGACATTGGACAGCGGTCAGATTACGCATGCACCCCCAGACATTGGACAGCGGTCAGATTACGCATGCACCCCCAGACATTGGACAGCGGTCAGATTACGCATGCACCCCCAGACATTGGACAGCGGTCAGATTACGCATGCACCCCCAGACATTGGACAGCGGTCAGATTACGCATGCACCCCCAGACATTGGACAGCGGTCAGATTACGCATGCACCCCCAGACATTGGACAGCGGTCAGATTACGCATGCACCCCCAGACATTGGACAGCGGTCAGATTACGCATGCACCCCCAGACATTGGACAGCGGTCAGATTACGCATGCACCCCCAGACATTGGACAGCGGTCAGATTACGCATGCACCCCCAGACATTGGACAGCGGTCAGATTACGCATGCACCCCCAGACATTGGACAGCGGTCAGATTACGCATGCACCCCCAGACATTGGACAGCGGTCAGATTACGCATGCACCCCCAGACATTGGACAGCGGTCAGATTACGCATGCACCCCCAGACATTGGACAGCGGTCAGATTACGCATGCACCCCCAGACATTGGACAGCGGTCAGATTACGCATGCACCCCCAGACATTGGACAGCGGTCAGATTACGCATGCACCCCCAGACATTGGACAGCGGTCAGATTACGCATGCACCCCCAGACATTGGACAGCGGTCAGATTACGCATGCACCCCCAGACATTGGACAGCGGTCAGATTACGCATGCACCCCCAGACATTGGACAGCGGTCAGATTACGCATGCACCCCCAGACATTGGACAGCGGTCAGATTACGCATGCACCCCCAGACATTGGACAGCGGTCAGATTACGCATGCACCCCCAGACATTGGACAGCGGTCAGATTACGCATGCACCCCCAGACATTGGACAGCGGTCAGATTACGCATGCACCCCCAGACATTGGACAGCGGTCAGATTACGCATGCACCCCCAGACATTGGACAGCGGTCAGATTACGCATGCACCCCCAGACATTGGACAGCGGTCAGATTACGCATGCACCCCCAGACATTGGACAGCGGTCAGATTACGCATGCACCCCCAGACATTGGACAGCGGTCAGATTACGCATGCACCCCCAGACATTGGACAGCGGTCAGATTACGCATGCACCCCCAGACATTGGACAGCGGTCAGATTACGCATGCACCCCCAGACATTGGACAGCGGTCAGATTACGCATGCACCCCCAGACATTGGACAGCGGTCAGATTACGCATGCACCCCCAGACATTGGACAGCGGTCAGATTACGCATGCACCCCCAGACATTGGACAGCGGTCAGATTACGCATGCACCCCCAGACATTGGACAGCGGTCAGATTACGCATGCACCCCCAGACATTGGACAGCGGTCAGATTACGCATGCACCCCCAGACATTGGACAGCGGTCAGATTACGCATGCACCCCCAGACATTGGACAGCGGTCAGATTACGCATGTACCACCAGACATTGGACAGCGTTCAGATTACGCATGCACCACCAGAGTACACACCCACCGTTCTGGTCCTGGGCCCACTTGGGGGGACAGCGGAGGCTGCCCTTGGGGGCCGCACACTCCCACGCACCGTACAGCTCATCAGGCGGCTCTATAGCCATATATAGCTCTAAAGCTTTCGCCGGCTGTTTAAAATGGTTAGGAGTGGGAGGGGTAAAAATCTTTTATTTACTATCGGTCGGACGGCAAGGGGTTAAAGAGCATGTCAAGGCGAGATAGCAATAAAAACCATGCAGTGCATCTCTTGTGTTTTATCCCTTTAAGGATCCGGCAAGTACAGAATAATATCTGTGGCTCGGCTCTCAGACAACACGCAGCATTTTGTGAGCGAGAGTGGTGTCAGCCCTGCCAACATCCCCTTCGCACACCGTACCGTTATACCCCAGAATGCAACGGGTGCTGGAACAACCGGTGCATGGCGCCACAGCATACAATCTACATGTCGTCCGCACTCCATTCTGCTTCGTATCACCGTCGTTATTCATGACAACGTTTCGGATCCTCGCAGGACCCCTTCGCCAGGCAAAGTGCGACACTTCCTGCGAGGCTCCGAAACGTTGTCATGACAAAGCAATACGAATAAAGATATTCCGAAGCAGAATGGTGGGCGGACGACGTGTCTTCCAGCGAGGGTCGCCACCATTCCTTCCATCGAAACCCGAACACTCTAGCGACGCACTGAACTTTTTTGGGGAGAATGAGTCCTGGCTTATTCATGTGCAAACTAGTGTCCTCGGTATACTGAGACAGCCGGGACGGATCCCGACATTACTGCCTGGATCCACCCAGCTGCGTGAGTGACAGCTGGCTCCGCCCATCTAGCTGTACCCGCCCCCGTCCGTTCCGCCAGTCAGCGCTGGAGGATCGGACAGGTGAGGGGGGAATCCCTGCAGGGAGCGGTCACTGACAGTCACGGCTCTCTGCAGGGACGGGATCGAGAAGTGAGCGAGTGCCGGTATGTGTTCGCTCACTTGCCGATCTACTGAGCCGACGTGTGACAGTCTCATTGTCACACGTCCCCCCCGAACTATGAGGATCAGTGACAATCACTCGCCTCATAGTTCTCCTTTAATGCTTCCAGAATGTTCCAGCAGCTGTGCGGGATTTACATGTGACCCGTTCCCTGAATACATTGTGACGAATCCAGAATGATCTTCCACGGCGCTGATAAATGTCTTCTTTTTGTCTTGGCACAGGTGACGTTTTCATCCAGCAGACTCAGGACAAGCAGAACCCTCTCATCTATGGAGTGTTCACCACGCTGGGGTGAGAGCGCGTCTCGGTGGAACCGTCTCTGTGTCCTTCATCCTAGTTCCTTGTGTGGATGTCCTTCTACCTCTTATATATCTGTCCTTCTCCGTATACCTTCTCGGTGCCCAACCTGTGGTCAAGGGGCACCAGCTGTGGGGACCTTGGGGGCCTCTGTAGACAGAAGTCTTTGTTTTCCTTGGCCGGGCTTTTTTTGTATTCCCTTTGATATTATATAATAGATCCTAATGCACAAATAACCTTCACGGGGGTTGTAGAGAGCAGAGACGTGGAAGCAATGGCGTGCACAGGGAATGCAATAGCAGTGGTCTCTAGCAGTCTCATGTGTCTCCAGTCTATGACTGTCTTGTAACATGTCCCCAGTCTCCAACAACTCCTATAGCACGTTGGCAGTCTTCCACCATCTCCTGTTGGCTCTCAACCATCTCCTGTAGGCTCTCAACTATCTCCTGTAGTCTGTCAACCATATCCTGTAGGTTCTCAACCATCTCCTGTAGTCTCTCAACCATATCCTGTAGGTTCTCAACCATCTCCTGTAGGTTCTCAACCATCTCCTGTAGTCTCTCAACCATCTCCTGTAGGTTCTCAACCATCTCCTGTAGGTTCTCAACCATCTCCTGTAAACACGCAGCATTTTGTGAGCGAGAGTGGTGTCAGCCCTGCCAACATCCCCTTCGCACACCGTACCGTTATACCCCAGAATGCAACGGGTGCTGGAACAACCGGTGCATGGCGCCACAGCATACAATCTACATGTCGTCCGCACTCCATTCTGCTTCGTATCACCGTCGTTATTCATGACAACGTTTCGGATCCTCGCAGGACCCCTTCGCCAGGCAAAGTGCGACACTTCCTGCGAGGCTCCGAAACGTTGTCATGACAAAGCAATACGAATAAAGATATTCCGAAGCAGAATGGTGGGCGGACGACGTGTCTTCCAGCGAGGGTCGCCACCATTCCTTCCATCGAAACCCGAACACTCTAGCGACGCACTGAACTTTTTTGGGGAGAATGAGTCCTGGCTTATTCATGTGCAAACTAGTGTCCTCGGTATACTGAGACAGCCGGGACGGATCCCGACATTACTGCCTGGATCCACCCAGCTGCGTGAGTGACAGCTGGCTCCGCCCATCTAGCTGTACCCGCCCCCGTCCGTTCCGCCAGTCAGCGCTGGAGGATCGGACAGGTGAGGGGGGAATCCCTGCAGGGAGCGGTCACTGACAGTCACGGCTCTCTGCAGGGACGGGATCGAGAAGTGAGCGAGTGCCGGTATGTGTTCGCTCACTTGCCGATCTACTGAGCCGACGTGTGACAGTCTCATTGTCACACGTCCCCCCCGAACTATGAGGATCAGTGACAATCACTCGCCTCATAGTTCTCCTTTAATGCTTCCAGAATGTTCCAGCAGCTGTGCGGGATTTACATGTGACCCGTTCCCTGAATACATTGTGACGAATCCAGAATGATCTTCCACGGCGCTGATAAATGTCTTCTTTTTGTCTTGGCACAGGTGACGTTTTCATCCAGCAGACTCAGGACAAGCAGAACCCTCTCATCTATGGAGTGTTCACCACGCTGGGGTGAGAGCGCGTCTCGGTGGAACCGTCTCTGTGTCCTTCATCCTAGTTCCTTGTGTGGATGTCCTTCTACCTCTTATATATCTGTCCTTCTCCGTATACCTTCTCGGTGCCCAACCTGTGGTCAAGGGGCACCAGCTGTGGGGACCTTGGGGGCCTCTGTAGACAGAAGTCTTTGTTTTCCTTGGCCGGGCTTTTTTTGTATTCCCTTTGATATTATATAATAGATCCTAATGCACAAATAACCTTCACGGGGGTTGTAGAGAGCAGAGACGTGGAAGCAATGGCGTGCACAGGGAATGCAATAGCAGTGGTCTCTAGCAGTCTCATGTGTCTCCAGTCTATGACTGTCTTGTAACATGTCCCCAGTCTCCAACAACTCCTATAGCACGTTGGCAGTCTTCCACCATCTCCTGTTGGCTCTCAACCATCTCCTGTAGGCTCTCAACTATCTCCTGTAGTCTGTCAACCATATCCTGTAGGTTCTCAACCATCTCCTGTAGTCTCTCAACCATATCCTGTAGGTTCTCAACCATCTCCTGTAGGTTCTCAACCATCTCCTGTAGGTTCTCAACCATCTCCTGTAGGTTCTCAACCATCTCCTGTAGGTTCTCAACCATCTCCTGTAGGTTCTCAACCATCTCCTGTAGGTTCTCAACCATCTCCTGTAGGTTCTCAACCATCTCCTGTAGGCTCTCAACCATCTCCTGTAGGCTCTCAACCATCTCCTGTAGGCTCTCAACCATCTCCTGTAGGCTCTCAACCATCTCCTGTAGGTTCTCAACCATATCCGGTAGGTTCTCAACCATCTCCTGTAGGTTCTCAACCATCTCCTGTAAGTTCTCAACCATCTCCTGTAGTCTGTCAACCATCTCCTGTAGTCTGTCAACCATCTCCTGTAGTCTGTCAACCATCTCCTGTAGTCTGTCAACCATCTCCTGTAGTCTGTCAACCATCTCCTGTAGTCTCTCAACCATCTCTTGTAGTCTCTCAACCATCTCCTGTAGTCTCTCAACCATCTCCTGTAGGTTCTCAACCATCTCCTGTAGGTTCTCAATCATCTCCTGCAACACCTCTGGTCTGGAGCAGTGAAGTCGTACTTGAGGCCCCCTATATCATGAAAGTTTTATTGTCCTCCTGCCCCCCCTCCCCTCCCAATGTGTGACCTGTTGAGTTTTTTTCCATGTTGTGTTGGCTGGTTGTCCCTAATGTAGGTGTCTCTGTGTGTGTCTCTTAGTTCCGTGTTCCGGGGCTCTGCCGTCTGTGTTTACTCTCTTGCTGACGTCCGTGCTGTGTTTAATGGGCCATTCGCACACAAGGAGGGACATGGGTTCCAGATGACGGCCTATACAGGGAAAACGCCTTACCCCCGGCCTGGAGCGGTGAGACACGGCACCAGCCTTGCTGGCAGTCTTGAGTGATTCGGTGGTCACAATGATTCTGCACATTGGTTACAGTTAGGAGAACATTACGGTATTATGGAGGATTCTGGATGCAGGTGTTATTTTAGGCTCGGTCAGAACCAGATCACGAAGACCTTACAGGGAAAGGGTTTAGACCAATTTCAGTTTATTTTTTTAGCTGTCTGTGTCCCAAGGGGTGAGATTTCCCTTTACTTCCTGTCCTGGAGACATAACAGGAAGCAGGAGGAAATCTCAACAGCTATCCAAGAGGGGTGTTCCCTTCACTTTGAAACTGAAACAAGTGTCCCTACCGGAAGATCTTTCTTCTATTCCGGTTCTGATGGCAACTGTAGAATTTTGGATTTCCCATCACTTCCTGTCTCAGTGACAATAGTGACCAGGAGGGTGAATCTACCTACTGGGGACACACACACAGCAATAACCTTGGTAGAGATAGAAGGAAGGTGAGGGGTGTTGGATCTTCTCAGGCAGTAGATGTTCTCAGTTAGGTCCTAAGCAGTCTAGACCAGTGGTTCTCAACCTGTGTAACCTCAAGACCCACATTTGTCCTCGGCCATTAAGTCATAACCCAAGTCACACTGCAATGGAACGCACAACAGTGCTGGGCTGCTGTGCTGTGAGGGAGCTCCATCCATATGTGCATTGCTTGTGCAGCTCCCATGCGCGCCTTGTAGAGGTGCCGGGAGCCAGAATGTGATGTCACTCCGGTCCAGGCTCCTCTACAGGCCATGTGAGGAAGCTCTAAGCAATACAGGTATGGATGGAGCTCCCTCGCTGCCACACCCCCAGCCCACCTCAAGTCAACACTCAGCGCCAGGCAGCATATTTTGAATAGCTGCTCAGTGTGAGAGGGATCAGTGCTGCGCTAGGGGGAGGAGCCTCTCATCTAGAAAAGTGGAAGCCACGCGGCGACCCGCTGAACATGGGGTCGCGAACCACCAGTTGAGAACCAAGGGTGTAGAAGGAATGATTCCCGTTAGACAGCCCTCCCAGGAGTAGCGTGACCGGCATCCAAAGTGATCATACTAAGGATCTGGTTCTGACTTGACTTGCTTTGAGCTGCTTCAGTATTGACTTGTGCAAGGAGAGAAGCAGCGCCGGCCCATAGCCCCTCATAGTGAGTGTCTTCCATCAGTGCGCACAAGTTCTCCATGGCGGCCAATCATTTATGGATCCTCCGCTTATGGGGATTGTCCTTTTGTCTTGCAGTGTGCAGGTGGGTTCTCGGTGGCCAACATCCGCTCCAGTCGGCATTTCGGTGAGGACGTGCTGAGGTTTGTGCGCACGCACCCGCTCATGTACACCTCGGTGTACCCCGTGAACCGCAAGCCCCTCCTCCTGCTCTCAGACGTCTCCTACACCTACACCAGTATCGCGGTGGACAGCGTGCCGGCCTCCGACGGGGAGTACACCGTTCTCTTTCTGGGGACAGGTGAGACCATTGTCCGGCCATCTCATGGGGTCTTTGGTGTCACCAGTGTATGGCCTGACGCCTTGTCCGTGTCTCCTCAGATCGTGGTACGGTCCAGAAGGTGATGATCCTACCTAAAGGTCCCGAGGAGACGGAAGGCATCACTCTGGAGGAGGTGGAAGTGTTCCGGGTAAGTTGCTTTTCTATCTAAGTGTAAAGAGCTCCAACAAAGTGTCTGAGGTGTAGAAAGAACCGGTTTGGGGGGAGGGGAGGTAGTCGGGATTTTACCACACACCCCTTCACTAACCTTATATGAAAAAAGAATGGCTGAAAGACTGGAGCTGTGGGAGGGACTCAGCAGGCCCCTCCCACTACAGGAAACTACAGGAGGGGGGCGGACACAAGACCAGTCACCCTGCACAAGGAGAGAGAGAGCAGCAGTGAGCGGTCTTTATTACAGAAGGGGGCGGAGACAAGACCAGTCACCCTACACAAGGAGGAGAGACAGCCAGGAGAGACAGCCAGGGGAGGAAGTGATGAGCTCACAAGATTTCTGGCGGGATCCACAGGGATTTTTCGGAACTTATTGAACAGATTAACAGACCCGAATCCTCCCTCTGAAGAAGAAGATCAGGCGGCTGGTTTATAAATCTCCGCCCCCCCCCGTCATACAATGGACGCCTTTCCCACATCATTGTTACCACTAGGTGGAGTTGGGGAGCATAGCCTACGCTCCCTGGCTCCACCTAGTGGAGGGAATGCCACGTGAACGCCGTCGTATGGCTGGGTGGAACATTTATAAATAGACTTCCACCATTCAAGTAACTCACTGGTCTTGTCTCCGCCCCCTCCTGCAGTGGGCGGATCCTGCTGGGTCCCTCCCACAGCTCTGCTCTCTCTCTCTCCTTGTACACGATGACTGGTCTTGTCTCCGCCCCCCTCCTGTAGGTTTCTATAGTGGGTGGGGGCCTGCTGGGTCCCTCCAAACTCCAGCTGCTGGGGAACTACAAATCCCATGAGGCATTGTAAGACTCTGACAGAGACAGATGCATGATGAGATTTGTAGTTTCTCCCATAGACTCCCCCCCAATGGTTAGACCTGTTTTAGTGGCACATTATTTGTATGTTTCTGATGTTGTCGTCTGTCCGCACAGGTCCCGGCCCCTGTAAAGAACATGAGAAGATG